TCTGTTAATTCTATACCAACCACACAACTTCTTGCTGTGGAGAACAGTTCTTATCATGTATTATTAAAGAACTCTATAGTGCATTTTACCGTAATAACAAGAAGGTAAATAGGAACACAGATAAAGCGGGGAAACAAAGAACTTGCAATATTTTTAAATATAGTCACATTTGTTTTTGTATAATGGGCTCCATGTAATTGTAGAAGCACAGGGTGCCATTCCACAGCTTTAGGTACAACCATCACCCACTGTACCTGTGATTGCAAAAGTAAATGTAAAAGCTCAGCACACAAAGTCACATGTGGTAAGAAGAGAATGTCGTCCAAGATTCAGAATCCACAGATTCCCCAAAAAACTTCCTGCACACTGTATAATTCTCTGTCAAAGATTTATTAATGTATAATATCTTCAGGTAACACAGGGTAACTCAGAGTACATGTCAGGCTTAATAATATCACTTTAGCGATAGTTTCAAGGTGTTGCTTTATTGTATGTCTCGTACCATGTCTCTCGGTTGTGCTGTTCTTTTTTTCATCTTGTTACAGGTGATGAAGCAGACTAAAAACGTTTTGTCATTATCTCCTTTCTATCTCTTCTTTCTATCTTTTTTTTTCTTTTCTTCTTCTGTTTTTCTGCTCTATTTACATTGCAATGTCCATATAAACTGTAAAACTCCCTGCATAATTATAATAAAGCAATTTATATGCATGAAACAAGTGTAGCAGTATGGCAATTGCCATACTGCTACACTTGTGAAAGTAAAATCTGTTGGGCTTTTTTTGGCATCAAGACAATTATTCTTATTGCCACATTGCCAGACAGGACACTGTATAAAAAAAAAAAAAAAAGAAAAGATTTTATTAATGTAATGTTTTGGATGGTGTGACCTTCATCAGACAGTTCTGACCTACACACCCCGTGGGTAAATGGATCAATCCAGGAACTGAAAGTGATGCTGTGTGCAGAAGTTTTTTTTTAAATCTAGGTACTGGGGATTAAAATGTCTGAACATTGTTTAAAGGGAAGTTGATCAAATACAACCAGAATTCTGAAAAGCATACCATTTAAGCACAACTCTTTGATATTTAAAGAAATTTATTACACAAAATGGAGAAAATACCTTGACCTTAGAAGCTTGACAAATCTCTTTACCTGACCGTAAACCGAAACATTTCTTAATAAGGCTCTGTAGGAAAAATTTCAGGCTGCAATAAATTTTACCTCTAACCAGAAGTCACTCATCTGTATTATTTTATGAAAATCAATAAGTAAAGAGGGGAATCAGAGCACAAATAAATTAGAATACAGTAGAAAAGAAAGCTGTCAGATAATCTTTTACAGTTAAATAAAATTATGTGTGAGCTTTTAGGGTTTATAAGAGGTTTTTTCGTCCAGTAAATTGAGTATTTTACGAGCATTCTGAGCCGCTGTCTCATCAAAATGTATGTTACATAAAGACTATGGATGCATGATAAAAACTAAATAAAAACCAAAGCAATAAATTAATTGTTTTACTGTGGTTCAATACATGCATGTATAAAATACAAATTGTTCCAGATTAATAAAGTATTTAAATCCAGACATGCCAATTGTTTAGATAAAAAAAAAAAAAGGATTCTCCATAGTGTTTGTAGAAATCTTAAATTTTCTCTCAAACCCGAGAGAGGAATTGCTGCTGAATGCTGTGCTTCAACAATTTTAATATGTTGGAAAATTTGCAGTAAATAGTTTTGACCAGTGTCGACACACCACAGATATCTATTCATGTATCAGAATTCATTTGAACATTTTCACAAAGCTCTTCAGAAAAGCAGAATCTCCATGATTCTGTTTTTAAAATTATAGGACTGTTTATTAAATTGGCAAAGATTTTCGCAGGTAGTTATTGCACTATGCTTACTAGTTTACAAAACAGCTTTTGTCAAGAGCCTTGCTTTAATCTTTGCAATTATTAGGCCCCATGATAAATGTCTTGAGCAAGGAATCATATTTTGCTAGTCTTAATAGGCTGTGAATAGCTAGAGCTATGGGACTCTACTAGAAGCTTACACATGGGAAGTAAATCATGCTTAAATGAGTTGCACTAAATATTATTTTTTAATTTATTCAGTCCTTCCTTATAAGATTTTTTTTCATTTGTGCCTGCGACTTCTAGGCACTGATCTTCTTTCACCTCAATTGTACCTCTGTTAACTGCCTTTTCAGCTATCTAAAGCACTTTTACATCTACTTATAGCCCTCCACACCTTTGTGGGACTCAATCATTTTAATTTTCATGGTGCTGCAAAGATGCTTCGATATGCTCAAGATTCCTAAGAGAGCATTTGAAGATTCAGAAATTTACATCATCTGTTCTCCAACCTTGTGCCGCAGGTTTTAAAGGCGAATTAATGCCCGAGACATCGAGCAATTGCTCTGTTTTGATGTTTCCAAATATATGGATGAGAGCCTGCCCTTTAATACAAAATATTTTATCCAACTTATATTGCTTTATTAATGACCAAAGCGTCCATATCCCCATCCAGTAAAACTAATTTTACCTTCTCTTCACACGATAGATTTGTTTCTGTCTTATCTAATTCAATAACATGGCAGACATTTTTCTCATTTTCTTACAGTAAATTTTTTACTCATGTGGGTAACAGTGATTCCTGTAGAGGACAAATTTGCAATTGTTTCTTTAATACATGGTCAACAGTCCAGACACACACACATTCTTGTCTTACAGTAATAGAAAGTGAGGACCATGTATTGACTCCCATTGACTCCAATCTTGTTCTCAACCGTTTGATGCCTTAACCCATACAGTAACCCCAGACCCAAACCTACCAGTGCATACTTCACTGTAACTCTAAATTACATTAAATATAGACCTATATAACCTATACTAGGTTATAGTTCAAGTGCTAATTTACACTTGTAGTCCCTGGGCAGGTTGATGTTATAGAAAAATGCATAAAACATCATACATAAATGGATAAGGACTTTTACTATACATTGACCAGACTTATAATAAAAAAAAAATAAAAAAAAATGTATAACAGTCAGATAAAAAAACTCTTAATCACACCTTTCATTTACTTAGGACTACTTTTATAGACCTCAGAACACACACACATATTTCACACCTTAGCCAGAAAAATAAGCATTGGCCAAAAATGTCGTAGAGGACCAGCAAAATGTCCGGAATTTCCAAAATGTTTTGGAATTTAAGGGTGAAATCAGAAAAAAAAAAGATCCAGAATCTGAGCTTCACTTCTGCCCAGAAAGAAGCACACGGAAATGTATCATCTAGTCATATTATTTTCTGTTGGCCCGAACAGAATGACTTTCTGGGTAAATAGAAAAAAAAGTAGAATCAAAGAGTTCTTGCTAGAGCCTCTTTTTTTTTACCACTACATTAAAATGCAACAGCGACTAAAGGGGTCATACCCGACAACATTTATTCCAAGGTTAAGACATGAGGGGGGAGACTTTTCATAAAATTGCTATCATTATTAATGCTTTTGTCAGATCAAAGCAAGGACAGGGGGTACGGCATATTTAAACCCAGCATGCCTTTTGAACAGAACTCCTTTGCGCTTTGGGATGTACAAATCAAAGAAACAAGTTCACGACAGATGTGGATCTTAGTATTTTAGGTGAATTTCCACAACTATTTTAAATGTGTTGTTTTTTGTGTGTGTGTATAGACACTTAATTGGAGTAAAACATAAATTACCCTTCTTAAATCAACATGACATACAGTATATAGAAAAGCACAAAGAAATGTGTGAGTATTGGCCTAAATTAGTTGATTTTCAGCACAATTCAGACCGACTAGTACTGTAAGCAGATTGCAAGTAACTTAAAAATCAGATATTTTTTCTGATCAATCATTCATGAATAGATTACCTGTTATTGTTTACAGAAGATGGTGTGCACTCTGGCTGAGTACATTAAACTCAATTACCACATCAAGCTGTAAGTTAGATGGTTAAGAACTAAAATAGCAAGAACTATAATAAAGTATTTCTATAAATGCTAGCTGCAATAACTTTGGATAATTAGTCTCACAGTTTAACCTTTCCATAAAAGTTCAAAAAATATCCACTGGACTTGGTTTCCAAGATTTGAAGACGTTTCACCACCTCTCCAGGAAGCTTTCTCAATTCAATTTAACCTGACCTATTTTCCTGGTAAGGGATGGACAATGTAGACCAGACATCCCCAAAGTCGGTCCTCGAGGGCCGCTGTCCCGCAGGTTTTAGAGGTTTCCCTGCTTTAGCACAGCTGATTATGATGACTGCAGTTGAACAAAAGCCTGTTAACCAGCTTTCAGTTACAAATGAGCTGTGCTGGAGCAAGGAAACCTCTAAAACCTGCAGGACAGCGGCCCTCAAGGACCAACTTTGGGGATGCTTGAAGTAGACTATTATTGATTAGTACAGCTATTCCAAAAATGTTAAAAGACAATCCACTGGACTCGTTTGAAAGTTTGAAGATGTTTTGCTTCCCATCCACAAAGCTTTTTCAATTCAAAATATCAGAAATAGCGTTGAATTTGAGACCTTATAGAGTGGACCAAAAACAAAGCCTGGTTTTAGCTTAGAAAACATGCAAATTGAACCAGACAAACGGGTCCACCCATCAGCAATGGGGGTCATTTGGGTTCTTTGTAAGCCTTCAATATCCGATACCTGTCTATATCTCTGAAAGAGGGTCGTTAGAGGGAACTATTGGCCTGTCTGAACAGACGAGGTGCTCTGTTCCCCTTTTTAATTTTTTTAGAATGACTATCACCTGGATGACTGAGAATCTTCACCAGCATTTAGTACAGTTATAATCATTCAAATTAAAGGTATCTAAAATCTCCTCTGTTGATGCATAAAAAGCCCAACAAACAAATACTATCCTAAAAATAAAATTCTTCTATGGTACTGTCATATATTCTACATATGTTAGATGAAATAGAACAACTATATTGGTAAACAACACAAAGCAATCCAGATTCTGTTTACCTGCAGTGTCTGTGAACTCCAGCCACGGTCTCAATGATGGAACATTCTCCTTCATTCAGGCAGAAAGCAAGGTCCTTATCCTCCACACATGGCTTGAATACTTCTGAACGTACACTTGGAAGTGTTGGGGCAAGTGCTGAAGACACAAAGAGAGAAAAAAAAAGATTAGAGTAAGAAATGAACCTCATTTGTCCTCTTAAATCATAGCTAATACCAGAGAAACATGTTCTCTTTTCTTTTTTTTTAAAGATTTTTTTGGGGACAAATTACTCCAAATCATTTTAGTGCTCTAAAATGGCCCCTCAGATGACAGAAAATAATTGTTTGTAATTTATGAAATCGGTAGGCTAAAAACAGAGAGCCTGGGGATAATTTGATTTGGTAAGAACCGATTAACTAGGCATTAATGAGATTAAGCATTCTCAGCTTGACTGTTTCCGTGTGCTTGATTAAAAAGGTAGAGGAAAACAGTGGCAATTCAAAACTTTCTAAATGGTTTTGAAATTATACATTTGAGTCTGTTGATTTTTGTCAATAAAAACCAAAATCACTCATTCCCCCTTTTTAAATGCAGCATTTGAAACAGAAATCTGCTCAGTGCTCTGGGTTCCAATTTTTCAAGCAAGGAGGCAGACAAAGAATAGGCCAATTGATATGTCTGTAATTCTCTGCTTCCAGTCTGACCCTAAGCACTCTCATATATAAAAAGCATGGTTGCCATGAGCGAGCACTGCAATGCAGGGTTCTCCACCCAGTGAAATATGCACAGCTGTCAGCCAAGTTATCAGGGCAAATAAATATTCTGTGTCAGACTGCACACTAATGAGTGTGAATTAAAAAAAAGAAAACTAGAAAGGGACACTCATGCACAAAAATTATCACTCTCTTACACTTATGCACCACATAACCAAGCATTAAAAATGGGATTGACTGGTATTATGCTCAATGCCACTATGCTCAATAGAATTGGATTACACAAATTCTCTGTTCATCCGTTTACTTTGTGTGCCCAGCACACCTTTCTAAACACAATTTTATTCACAAGTCATATTCTGGTAATTGTCTTTCATTTTGTGTGAATCTGCCACATAATTCATGCCTGATCGACTTTATATTACTCTCTCGTTGGAAAGGGGCCTTTTGTGACCAACAATATGAGTAGAGAGAGAGAAAAACTGTAAAAATCTGTTTATTTTTCTTTGACATCCAGCTCAATCTATACTTATGGGTATTGATCTATAAATCTAGGGCTCCTTGATGTAAGACCTTAGAGATGATGAGAGATCAAAGGGAACACAGAAAGACTTATGCTACTCTTGGGGCCAACCCAAACACCACTCTGACCGAGTCAAAAGTCTGAAAGATAAAATCAGGGTTCCTGAAAAATCATCACAATCAAAATTGTCATCTACAAACTTCCAGACATTTAAAACAAATGTTTCCTACGCTCTTAGTCCTTCAATAATAATAAAAAAAAACTATTAATGAAAAAAGGTTAATTACTAATTTGTGGATAATATTTCTATTGTTTCCTAAAAAAGAAAACAAAGCATACTACAAATTATCAACAGGATAAACAAGTAAGGGAAAAGAAAAAACAGATGAAAGGGCACCCAGAAGCATGGAAAGAATAAATTTCAATTCAATTCAATTTATTTATATGGTGCCAAATTGCAACACGTCATCTCAAGGCAATTTACAGTTCACCAGATCATACAGTCAAATTGATTCAAAGTTCTCCATCTAAGCAAAACCAGTTGATTGCATCGACTCATTGACTCAAAGGCGATCCCTCACACTAAGCATGCTTGTAGTGACAGTGGAGAGAAAAAACTCTCTTAACGGGAAGAAAGACAGCATAACCAGGCTCAGTGTGAGCGGCCATCTGCCGAGGCCGACTGGGGTTCAAGGAGACATAATATAAAATAAAGCAAAGAATGACAGCGGGGTGGTGAAAGAAGAAAATACACAAGAAAGGTAGAAGGAAGTAATGAATGAAATTAAACAAAAAAAAGTAAGACACGGCAAGTGCAAGGGATCCATAATAGAAAAGAATGCAGGAGAGAGAGAGAGGAAGGAGGGGCAGAAGGACACACTTCCAGCAGGACAGAACTGTGAAGCAAGAGTAAACAATGTTAACTTAAAAAAATAAGCAAAAAGTCCATAAAAATACATTTAACAACAGCATAAGGTAACATGTTTATACATATTACATTTTCTATTCATTTTTTTAGGAGTCTCCAGTCTATGCTGATAATCAAAAACTTCCCTTTCGCTTTCTTCCTAGGTTGTACACTGTAATATTAATTCCACATATTCCCAAAGTGGGATGTTCCAAAGGTTAACTATTCAAAGATGCAATTTTATTTATAGAAAATAGAACACAATGGCCCCAGAGATGAGTATGTCCAAAGAATAATTGCCATGGCCTTAAAAACTCCCTTGTATCTATCATTGAAGAGGCGGCAGTGAGCAGTAGTGCATGAGGGACACAACTCAATATATATTCATACACAACAATCTCAATGTTCTGTTATAATTGAGAGTTTAAGGTTTCCTTAGGACCCTGGATTTCTTCTGTTTGGATGCCATTTTTTCTACATCAGGAGACCCAGTGTCTTGAAGAGTACCTTTTTCTCTAAAACACCTCAAAAACTCTACAGTCATGCCAACCTAGTGTGTTAATTGTATATTTGTAAATTAACCATAAAGCTGTAAAGCGACAACTCTGGCCATGTATATATTGTTAAAAAATTTAATTTTTATTTGCTATTTAAACTTTTCCTGCTCAGGGATCCAGTGCAACTTAATAATGGAGGGATTTATTTAACTGGATAAACTTTACAGCTCGCCGTCTACTACTGTTTATTAGTTGTAACAAGTACATAAAATAGTGTCTAGTAAAGGGAGTAAACAGAATACTATAAAGGATCTGTACAGCAGTGGGACAGGAAACTGAGGAGGGTATACATAGCATATACCAATTTGCTCCCATGAAAAATTAATTTGTACCCACAAAGGGCTACTTCCTGCACAAAAAAAATATAAACCTGCTCCCAAAGAATACCGCTTTGTGCACATGGAATAGTATTTGCGATTACTAATTTGTAAACATAATGTGCACACCAAATACAAATTAATACAGAGTATTTTGGGGGGGGGCACAACACAGGTTTCTGGACTGAGATCTCAGACGTTTCTCAAGGTATCTGTTGGAGTCACTTCCAGTTTGGGGGTTACTGCCCCCAGTACTCAAATGACCACAAACACTAGTATTTAAGGGAAGTGGCGGCCTGGTGGTTACGGCATAGAGCAAACAGTATAAAGAAGGAGTACTGGGGGAAGTAATCCCCAGTACTTCAATGACCACAAACACTGGCATTTAAGGGAAGTGGCAGCCTGGTGGTTGCGCCATAGAGCTTGGAATCCTGAGGTTCTGAGTTAGAGCCCCACTCCTACAGAGCCCCACTCTGGGTCCCTGAGCAAGACCCTTAACCCCACACTGCTCCCCGGGCGCCAAACAATGGCAGCCCACTGCTCCCCAAGGGGATGGGTTGAATGAAGAGTTAATTTCATTGCTCTGTACTTGTGACAGTGTAATGACAATAAAAGTTGGGAGGATTGCCTTCAGCCCTCCTGGGTCTCTAGTTCGTCCCGGACGCTGTTTTTTTTTTTCCATTTTCTCATATTCTTTTTTCCCCATTGTTTCCATTCTTTGGGATGGCAAAATAAATTACTACGGCTGACTGTCCTCTGCTGCTTATCAAAGATCACAATGTCCAGTTGGTTGGCCACTACCATAGCCATGTGTTCTTCTTGTAATCTTTTACATTCTACTGCCTGCTGTTGCTGACACTGCATCCAATGGTACAGGTTCAATTGTTGCTAACCTAGATATCTGATCCAGATGCTATACTACTATTTATGGAATTGCTTGATATAAACAATATAAAAACTATAAAAACGTTAACTCAGAAATTAACTTATCACTAACCACTGTCTGAGCTCCACATGATGATGCAATCAGCATTGCAATCATGAAGTTGAAGTCATTAGATCGCTATAACCTGTGTATCATATAAAAAAAAAAGAAGGAATGACTGAATTGGAAGGCTGGATAAGTTTAAGGCTTCAAGTAAAAGAGGCTCCATCAGAGCCTCACATTCACATGCTGTTCTTGTCAATTTGAATCTGCAAGTTTTACTTCTAGTAAGGCTAAGACTGACTCATAAAAAAGAAACGTTTTAAGTCAAAACTTAGAAATGCAGAGGTGTTATAAAATCATATTTCTTAAAGGTTATCGTTCAAGCTTTAAGAATTGCTCTAAGGTATCCAGTTCAAAACATAAACAAAACAGCAACAAACAGCAGCAGATTTTAGGAAATTAAAAACATCTTTTCACAGTGCACAAAATAATGTATGTAAAAATGAATAGAAAATAAAAAAGCACCAAATGAAAAAGCACCACATTTCAAAATGCTACCTAGGAGAGGTAGCATTTTGAAATGTCTAAGACTTCATTTATATGAATAATGAATCTGTGTAGAATCTAAACAAACAGATATACTGTATATATCTATATTTACAACTAATATTTTTCTTGACTGCTTTTAGCCTTGATTACAGCATCATGTCAGTGCATTTCAAAGCAACAGGTCAACACAATGAAAGTTTTCAATATTACTCTGAAATTAAGCTGTTATGCTCAAACGGTGATTTTAAACATATTTACGTCCTTATATGCACAAGTAAAAAACCTCTGTTTGAAAATCTTTAGTCAGTGCAATGACATTGTGTTATTTTGACAGTTACAGTGCAGCTCACCTTGCCAGTGAGACCACCTGCCTACTTTCTGCTTCATACTGAGTCATGTGCCCTTGCACATGCACTCTTGCCAGCAGGGAGATACCACACCCTTTTAAGGTCCACATGAAAAAACAAAACAAAATTGAGATTGGAGGGCAGGAGAAAAAAAAGAAAAAAAAAAGACTTATCTAATTATCTCTCAAATAAGAGATTATTTTCTCTCCCAGTGCAAAAAAACACCCATTTTGGGTTATTTAAAGATTACAAGTGTTGGGTTGTTAGTCTAAGGTGTATCCATGTTGCGAATGCAACAAATTGTTGACCCCACCA